GGAAACCTCATACCTCCTATCTGCCAGTGCTGGACAACGCATTGATTCTCCATAAGGCTGAGTTTCTGTGACCATCAGATGATCTGCACCAAGATGAAGAGGCCAAACAAGTTTGTAAGGAGGCAGCATGCAAGATCACTGCCCTCTGCTGAGTGGAAGAGGCTTGTGAGATGCACAGGTTTCCTCCACAACCGAAGAGCTCTGGTAGCAGGGTATAGTGGCATTTCGAGTGCAACATTGGGCAAGAGAACGTCAAGCATCACTTAAGCTCACAGCCACTGTACTATAGCAGGATAGTCAATAAACCTAAAAATACCGACACAAAATATGATGGAGCCTGCTTTGTCTTCTGTAAATTAACTAAAGGAGATACACTATTTTCATGTTGGTGCATAAACACTAGAAATATTGGATGACATCAAGGAAGACTCTACTAAGCAAAAGGTACTTTACTCAAATCAAAATACACTTAGGCAAGTCATCATTTCAGACAATTAGATTATTAGGGTGGCTCCACCTTATATGGTTGCCTTAGAGTTAATTTATAGATCCAAACTTATACTAGATTTACTGGTATTCAGATCTCGCCACATTTTAATTTCATCTCTCTATAGATTTGATCAGCAGAATTTAATTTTTCACAAATCTTGCTAAGCTTTAATGCTTTACTACATTACACGGGGAAAAAGAACACACGGGCAGTTCTGAAACGGATCCTTTTAAACATCCTTTCTCCACTCACCATTTCTGAACAGTAAAGGGTTTTCTCTATTCCTTCCACAGCTGTCTCGAGTTAGACGACATGAATAAGCTTATTGGATAACTACCTAATTGCACATTAGCACAGAAACAAAACGCTTAAACTGTCACTTCAGATTTTCAAGACAACTAACTTATTTTTAACATAGTCCTCAGCAAGTCAGGACTACAGAGGTTTAAATCGACATATTCAAGAAAAGCCAAAAAGAAAAGTTGCACGCTTTAATTCCACCATTTCCATTTTGCTTTTTAAAATCTGTTAAAACAACTTGTGTGCATTTAGTTTGATCACTGCTCACATGAAAATTTCCTGTACTTAATTACTGTTGATGGCAGACTGATAACAACACACGGAAACCTCTGTATAAGGTTAAACCGCTAAAAGAAAAAGAATTAAAAATGGCTTGAAGGATAAACTTTTTACGAGTAGGATAAATTTATTTTCCCCTACAGACACAATACATACAGTGCTTCGCAGGTAGCAAAGTCAGAGGTTTTTCCTTCCTCAGACGCCAAGCTGTTCTATACAAAAGGAATATTCTGTCCCTGCCTCAGATTGGAAAATGGACTCAAACAAATCCTAAGCACCATGAACATAATCCATAATGTCAGCCCTGGCATCAGCTAATGATTCTTGTAGGAACCTAGTGTCAAAACTAGAGGCAAGGACAAGTGAAAACACATCCTTGGGAGAGTTGGCCTGATCTCTCCCCTCCGCTCCTACACCTTCACTCTGCAAAGTGACAGCTCCATTTGTCGCCAACAAAGTTTCTGCCAGTGACTGTTTCATCACTTTGCCATGAACAGAAGTCAGCTCAAAGACTGCTGAGAAGACCGTGTAGGATTGTTCCAAACATGCTTTATTTCTGTATCTTTGATTACTCGATTGCTGTGTAGTCTCTACACTGGGTCACTAATTCCTACAAGCACACCTGCTGAGGGCCCTCAGCTTTACACAGAAAAAGCCGTCCCTGCCCGAGGCATTTCACCTCCCCGTGGCTGAAGCGTCTCCTGGCTTGCTTAACTGAACGAGGTCACAGATTTTTTGGACTGGAAAAGCCTTGGGGAAACACGTAGGTGAATCAACTTGTGATGCTCTCCCCCACCAGCAGTCCCACATGACGGCTGAATACAGCAATGGGGGAGGTAGTTCTTGCCTTCCAGCCATTTCAATTTCAATTGCATGTCTGCGCTTGGCTGTCGCTTGCCATCCCATACGGGGAGAAGCTACATCACTCAAGACAACTTCTAGCCATCTAGTCACTTTTAGGACTGCAGAACTGTCCTGATGGCATTAAACACTTGTGCTAAGTACAATTATGCCAGTCAGCTGCCCGAGGACTGATGGCCTCCTCCGTGCCAGTGCTTCTAGTATGTGTGAAGTTCTACAACAAAACGCAGATTTTCTTCCATGAAAAGGTGTAATCAACACCAAGAAAAAGACCTACGAGCACTGCACCTACACTCACATATTTCTTTCAGCAAAGCGCTCCCAACGTAACGTGCCCTAAGGCGCGGTGGCTCCGTCCCCTTGTAAACCAATCTTCGGGCACACTCCAAGCTCCTGAAGAGATGAGCTGGTGCAATGATCTGTTACATGCACAGCGCGCAGGAAGAGACCATCGTGAAACAGGAAACCTAAAACAAGAAAAAGTGCCTTATTAACTCTTTAGGCCCTGAGGCTTTGGTGGTAAAACATATGGTCAGAATTACCAGCCAAAGCAAAGCAGAGCAGCTCACTGTGGCTACAAAACCCTAGGAAGACGTTGCCTTGGTTTACTACATTAATTTTTTATAATATGAAGAACCAAAAGCGTACTAGTAGAAAGCAGTGCTGTCTTGCAGTGCTCAATTCTTTCAGAGATTTCTTATGAAAGAGACGCCTGTCACGATAAATACAGATGCTTCTCAAAAGGAAAGATGAATTCTTTCCAAAAGGTATTCCTGGATTCTAGGCAAAATACAGTTTCCAAAAGCTTTAGGGCTAAACTTGAAGCAGGTAAGAAGTTTTCTTAAACTTAAAACATTGATTTTTCAAACAGATTCCATATACTACTGTTAAAAATGAAAGTTGAATGCTTCTGAATTTAAAGACCAGTACTGTAGACCTTTAAAACAATCCAAAGTTACACAGCAGAAGTACTACACCTTTCCTTAAAAGGTGCAAATTCTTGGAAAGTCCTCAAAAGAATCCACTTCATTAGAGGCTAGAGTCCAATCTCATCGTGGGCCAATTCTTTTGTTCTACTGCTTCGCAATCACTGCCTGTGTTTATCCATTCCTAGAGATTGCTGCTCTGCCGGCTTCTGATGCAACCCCTTGTATCTTCCACTCAACGGGGGACTCAGATCCGGGGCCCTGCCCTCAGGCGAAACATATGTTCCACTCCAACCTGAATCCAACAAGGGTGTTTGCAAGGGAATAATTGTTTTATGTTTATTAATCACCTGCATGCAAATAGGTGCCAATAAAAACTCCAGGCAGATTCTCTGCCAGACTCGCATAATCTAATGGCACCACACCCCAGTTTTGGTGTCTGAAATAATGAATACCTCCAATAAGGAAGCATTACTACTTTGATATGCAGTGACAAAAATATCACATCGGCTCAGCCACTCTGCAATGACGACTTCGAAAAGAGAGACAAGAAACCTGCAAAAACATTCAGCATCAGTGGTAAAATAAATTAGAGATGCTGCATATTAAGCTAAACAAATACATTTATGCAACATGAAGGGGTGAGATTTCAATCGCGGAACTAGAACACTCAGACTCTACTCATGTTCAATGTGACCTGCCAAGAGAAAATAATCAGGCTGGGGACTTCCTTTCTTAAAAATCTGAAAAGGTTTTTAAAAGACGAAGTAAATTTTAGCAAAATGTTTCAGAGGCTTATATGCCAGTGTCCTTAAATAAAAGGCATTGCAACAATTACTACAACAAAACCAGCTGATAATTAAACTAATTCTGGAAAGAATTAAACTACGAAGCCTGATAGGACTTCAGTTAACAATTAGATTTAGGTAAGGGCAGTCTTAAGAGGCAGGATGAGTTAAGGCACTGGAGCTGCAATTTTCTTCTGGGACATTATGCAAGACTCAGTCTCTAATCCAGTTCTCACGTATTCGGTAAGATGGGAAGACTTGGTCTTTAAGACTGACAACTTTTTGGGGAAGAGACTGACATTCTCAAACACACTACTGAGGGAAGACCAAAAAAGCTTTGACAAATACAGACAGGTCCGTCACTTACCTTTCCCAGCTGAGAACCTGGGTGTCATGCCATGCCACACACGTAATACAGTCTGCACACAATCTCACACACATCCATCCTTCTATTTCCAAGCTTATTGAAACATAAAATAAGGACCCAAGCAGAGCATTTTAAATGGTTAACTCATTCAATGCAAATTCAAGTAGGGAAGCAGTCTCAATGAAAATTATTTTCAGAAGAATCACTTCTGGGCAGACTGCAAGTATCAGCCACGTGATAATTATCTGAGGCTGTTCTGTAAATGGAGTTTTTATATGGAAGCACCATCTAGAGCCTAGACAGATCAGTGATTATTCTCATAGAAACAAAGTCCTAGCTAGTTATGAGTAATTCAAAGATTTATGAAAAATGCTGTAGTTTTGTTTCTCATTAAACTTCCTTCATGTTCTTCTAAATGTACAGACACATCATGTAAGAAAAATCATGCTATTGATACATCAGTTTCTATTTAAAATAACGTAGTTATGAGCCTACTGTGCCAGCAGGAGAATATTCTTCCCCAGTAACAGGACCATGGCCAGGTAAGTTAAAAGTGACATCAGCATTTTAAAATTCATTCTACTTGAAAATCTGTTCTTTCACCTTTCACTTGGATTAGATTGAAACAAAGTATAACAAAAGCAAATTACGTCTTTGAAAACCCAATTATTTTTTTTTAATAAAATAAACAGTAGTAACGTCTTTGGAAAAATAAAGTAGATGCTGTATGTTTAGCATGGAACACTCTGCCCAGTGTTTGTTGAGCTTTAATTATGAGAGTGGATGACAGCACACTGTAAACTAGAAAATATAGTACCTGTTTCCCCACACATAAGAAAACTTGGGCGGGGGGTTGTTAAAAACTCAGAAGAGGGAAGCAAGATAAGTAACCTGAATGTGCACCCATTAACAGTAAATCAAGTTTCACCTTCACTGTGGAACGTTTTATTTAAATACTCTCAGGAAGGATCAGTGGAATAAAAAGATAAAACTGGATATATAAATGTCAATCTTTATTCGATCTCCCAGTGCAGTACATGACTTGTGTGCTTCAAATCAATAGAAAAAAAACAAAAGGGAACCAAAAAGAAGACTGCTGAAGAAAGATCTCAGGGGTTAGGACATCGCTTTTGGAAGGGGTATATTGTCCACTTCATGGATGCCATCTTTGTCAACGAACCGGGCATTGAAAGAAGTCAGATTTAGGATGAAGCGTTTCTGAAGCTGTTCAACAAAAGACAAAAAGACAAAAGAGGAGAGATTCATTCAAACCTTAAATAGAAGAGGAAAGCATAATTTAAGGGATATGCTGTTGCACATCAACATTTCCATCCTGGGTCTAGTGACCTGGAATATTAGGAACTACAGTGTTTTTTTCACTACGCAGGAATTAATTAGTATGAGTTTGTCCTCTGTTATAAGACTATCCGTGTTAGACAAGCCTAGCCTAGAGATGCAAAATGCACAAGCCTGTTAACAAGGAAGACATTTAAGCAGGAAGACTAGGGTGGGCTACAACTTAGGGCACAAAGTGTATTTATCAAAAAGATACTTCAAACAGAACCTCTTTAGAGTACTTCTTTCTAAGGTTTCCCCAGATGTTTCTTCCCAATTACCTTCAATTCAATCTCTTAAAGGCAAGGATAAAGAATATTTTCCTACAATAAAAGCCTTGGAGTCTGAAAGGTTGTGTTTACATTAAAATTGATCATGAACTTTAAGGTCAAATCTTTACCTCAGTTAGGTATCACTTCACAAGCTGGAAGAGAAGTACACTTAGAAGTACACACTAGTTAAGTGGAATACAAGTAACAGAAGGATGCTTGCATTACGTTCAGAAGAAACATAAAAGGAAAAAGTCAAAGCCTGTCTGTATCAATATTATGCTAAGCATGGAAGAAGCAGAAGTAAAGAAAAGCAATCAAACTTCAAGTTTATGTTCTGGAGGACATGAACCATGCTAAGACAATGCAAGTGCCCACAAATCCTTTTCCTCAGTAGCTATTACACATCTGGTCAATGTGCATTTATTACCCCTTCTGGCAAAGACAGCAAAAAAAATGCAAAAAGAGGAACAGGAAAATATCAGCAAATGAATGCAAACAAACATTCCTTTCTCAAGATCATAAGGGTTTGGCAACTCACCTCCTCTAGACATTTTTTTAGGAGCTCCACAGCTTCCTCACGTGTGATACCTGAAAGAGAAAACATCCACAGATTGATTTAATTAGAGGCCATCTCTCTCAACAGAAACTTTATTAAATTTAAACAACTTTTCAGCTGAGCACCAAAAACTCTCCTTCTCAGCTCACAGAAAACACTTTCCAGATGTACTGAGGACGCCCTGCACCAAAGCGCTCACACAGCAACAAGCCATTGAGAATCGATTTGTTACACTGAATGGGAAGCATGACGGAATTTTGCCTCCCATGGCCAGGGACTGGGCTTCGGAGAAGTCCAGCCGTCTCTCTCTCCTCGAGTTTATTACAGTTTTAAATCAGCTCCATCTGTCCACAGCCGGCTGCAAGTCAGTGACAGTAGGCGGGGATTGGTTTTAGTGCTACGTTCCCTGCTGGGTATTAGTTTTAATAATGGGAAAGGCACGTGTGTGATGCCCCTGCTATTCTCACGTATTAGGATAAAATCTAGCACTCTATAGGGATGGCAAGCCATGACAATGTATTGTAGCTCACTATTTTTCTCTTTTCACAGGGAATGGTGAAAACGGAGCAGTATCATTTTCAAGGGACACAAGTAGAAAACAATTAAGCTCTGTGGATCTCTCAAAATTTGTTTCTAGAGTTTGTTCCAGACCTGTGTCCAGTGTTCAGGCAGAAGTCCCACTAGAATAAAATTGTCAGTTTATAGACACATTTCTTGCAGGAGATAGATGAAAAGATGACTAAGTTACATCTCTGTTATGAGATTAAACTCAGCTTTGTACACAGGAGTAAAGTAGTTTTGTAGCTAAAGCCAAAGATGGCAAATTAACAATATTCCAAGCTTTGTATATTTCCCAATCTGTAAAGTGGGGATGGGGCCACGTTTATTCCTTGGCAGTGTAAGGACTGGATTATGATTCTAAAATTAAAACTTTAGACAGGTACAGACACATACAAGAATTATAATCAACAGCCAAGCCACCACGTGCATAAAACTGTAAACCAAACCAACCAATCTCCATCACCACCACTTCAGAGTACTGAAGATAATCTTGCTAGGAATATCTTTTCACTTGTATGTTTTTAATATATCACACACAAAGCCAATCCACAATATGGAGCAATAGGATCTGGGACTGCCCTGTGAATATTGATACTCTGGGAAAATGTACATGTCATAGCCAACAGAAAAGCAAGTAGAAGATGAAGTTATCAAAATGTTATTTATTAAAAACAGACTGCTAGTAGCTAATGGTCCAGGAAAGTCTAGTCATGTTTTAGAATAAATTGAAACTGCCTTCACCTACAGTCTGTTATGCTTCAAACAGGAAAACACTTTAAGGAGTTGACTAGTTTCACATTACCATTTCAGCAAAAACAGAAGACAATCTTTAAAGCTACATTTATTCTAACAAAAAATCAGATTCAAATCTGTAGCACCACAGCAATTGTGCTGGACCATCTGACTCAGCAAATGCCAGTTTAAGCCTTTAATTTATTAATCAGTAACAGGAGAATTTTCTTCTCCGTAGATTCCACTTACTTGGCTTGTAATAGCGGTCAAGGATGCTGAGGGTAAGGAATGCACCATATCCATGTGCTGCAAAAGGAGCTTTAGCCAGAGCCGCAAGGTAATCCATGTAATACAGGGCAGGACCTTCGTGGTCATCATAGCCAGCCAGGAGAAGGTTGACATGGTAAGGGGTCTACAAACAGAAACCACGTTTTCACTAAAGCAGCCACACCCAAATCTTTGAATTTTAGTTCCTCATGCCACCTAGAGAATAGCAACACAGCTGGTTTCACAACTCCTTGCTGTAAAATGCTTCTAGCAACTGCATCAATACTGTCTGCAGGAGATTATGGATCTCATCCTAAAAACGATTAGGTCTTTTGGTAATACAGAGTACAGAAGCAAATAAAAACATAAAAACTGGATTGTCCCAAAAACTAGAGTGTTTTTTTTTTTGTTGTGTGTGGGTTTTGGGGTTTTTTTAAGCTTTCATGGCATATTCAAACTTAAGAGAACTTTAATTGTGATTTTGCACCAGATTCTTTCATCTTGACATAAAACTTGTGGCTTTTTACTGTCAGCATGTGAGCACAACATGAACATTCTGCAGTTTGTAAGAACTTCTTTGTTAATTTAAAATGCTCTTTTCTCAGTCACACTACTGCTAACCATAGATCATTTTAGCACATATGAAAGTTTACATACAGTGTGAACAGCTATATACAGTGTTACGCTGTCTTGTTAATTGGCAGTTAGATTTTTTTATTGCACATACCAAGTTTTATCTTTAATATTAGGCTTAATTGGCCAAGCCAATGAAGAAGATCTAAGGAATTCGTTTATTTCTATTCAAAACTGACTACTAAGATACTGCAACATCACGTTAGCAATTTTTTTTTCTTTGGTTGGAAACAGTTTTCTTAAACTAGAAATTTAGTCTGCTTTAGCTGCCGTCTTCTCTGATCCTTGTTTATGACTTCAGCAAGAGCCTATTAAAAAAGACTGAGAAATAGCTACATCTCCTCCAAAAAGACCACGCAGCTGCATTAACGTAACCATGCCTTTTTATTGTGCTGTACTTGCAAGTTTAGCAATTCCTTAGCAGTTTCCTTCGTGGTTTAGGTTTTATGTGTTCCACCATAGTGGATAAAGCAGAAGTCCCTACACATCTTCTTCCAAGATGTGTACTTTATGCGACAATGAAACAGGCATGTACTGTATTGTTTTTAAATGTAGGCTCAGAAGAAATTTTTGAAATTTTATATTTTTTTTAAAAACTGCTTTCATATACTTCTAGTATTTTCATATTTATATAATGTTTCTTATTAAACATACTAACTGGATATCTCTTAAAATGCTGGAAAGTCTAGATCAACAAAGCAACAAAATGAGAAAAAATTATGATGCAACTAACATTAGATTAGAACAAGCAAACAAAATTTCACCCTAAAGCCAAAACATTAACTTTATCACAGGAAAAAGTTCATTTTGGTAATAAACACACTGAATTTGCACTCAAAAAATATTACAGGATACTGTATTTTGACTTTGACCAGACAGTAAAAAAGAATAAAGCAGGCTACAGTTATATATCAAACATCACTGTAAATTGTGTGATTTAATCTTCAAAGCATTCAAGAATATTTGGAACCAAGTTACCATGCAGCTGTATTCGTTTAATTAGTTTGTATTTCATCATTTATTTATTCTGAAACATCACACAAGTTGATATTTAAGAGCCATGACACGAGATCACTCAAATTATTGTGTGACTTTGAATTACCAACATCGGCATATGCAAGATACTCAACCATAAATAAATGGTGTTAGACAGCTTTAAACAAATCCGTAAGCTGTTTTCAGTTGTAAGTTCTCCCGCTAATGGTCTATGAGACAACTTCTTAAAACTCAAATGTAAATAGTAAATACAGTGTCCTCCATGCTTTCCTATTATTCAAGAAAGGTAGGATTTAAACATTAGAAAATAGACATAATCTTTTTATTACTTCTGTGATTACAAATGAAGTTTGCAGACTGCACCTCTTAGTGAGGGTAACATCTCTATGCTGGGATTGGTACTCCTTGGACATCTCAATCCTTCTGTCATTCCAAAGGCAGCCTTGGCTTTTGTAACTAAATCCATGCCAACAGTTCTAAATTCTTTAGAAGATTGGTGTGAGTAAAGGGCTACCAAACGAGTGGATGACTGACACTCCAGTATAGATTAATTTTTTTTTTTCCCAAAAAACTTACCTTCCCATTAGAGGCAACATTTCTCATCCCAAGTAGCTTTGCACTTTATGCTGTTTGATTTAAAATAACTACAGCAATTAAGGGATGTGTGAAATTCTTCAGAATTTACAGCTGAAGGGAACAGTTGTGATAAACACACTAAAACACCAAGATCAGCAGCGGGAGGCTGGGCGGTGACAAGCAGCCGTGTGACATCTGGCGGAAGCCAAAGTCACAGCAAGGGGGGAAAGGTGGGCGTGAGGAAGCATCCTGCCAAGCGTGGACAAGGAGAGAGGAACTGACAGTCCTCCTTTGGACTCAGGCCAGACCCTGTCACCTATAATTAAACATAGCACCACAACAAGAAACTGAACTTCATTGGGCTCGGAGGGGCAGGGGCTTCTCTTTCCTACTCCCCACCACCACGCAACCTCAGTAGTACATTAAACGTACCAAACACAACACTTGATTCAGCAGGTGAGTTGAGCAAGATGCAGGAGCAGGTAACAGTGGAACCACAGCACTCACCTATGTGAAAGCCAGTTGGCTCCAAAGCAGTTTCTAGGCCTGCCCCAATTGCAACACACAAACGGAAACCAACAAAGATTCTTTTCAGATCCTACTCTGGAGTATAAACCCCATGTTTTAAAAAAAGAAATGTCATGAAAAACCACATGTTCACTATTCAGTAAAAGAAAAGAGCACAGTAATGTAACGGCCTCAAGTTACAAGCCAAATGTCATTACACTCCATACTTTCCACCAAAAGAACGACTTCAAGGCACAGCCTTAAAAGACAGCCATCCCCAAGATACCAGGAACTTGGCCTACATAAGCCACAAGGTTCATAAATTAAATCAAACTAGATAATGCAGGGAGGAATCCAGATGGTGATTAACAATGCAGAACAAGCTCTATTTTGGGCTGGGCTATGACAACTGTGTAACGCATGAAAAAGTACTGTTTCAGTGCTTGCCACCTTCTTGCCCTCCATAGCAGAAATCGCTTCACATGGTGAATGGCAATACAGCAACAAACTACCTTTTCCCCCACCAAACATTTTATTTCTAAACTATTTTCTTGCTCCTAACAGGAGGTGGTGGCATGGTTTACCTTTTCATTTTTTTATTTTTATCATCCACATAATTAAATTAGTAGCCTGCAGGAATCCTACATGCAATTTAAATAGATACAGAGAGCTAGAGCTAATTCTTCTGGTATCCCACAAATTATCATGAAAATGTAACAAAATTCACGGGAAAAAAAAATTCTGATGTCAAGGTTTATATCATCAAATTCAAAATCCCACAAACAAATCATTAAGTGCTATGTTTAAAGAGTTCTCCCTACAGTATAGAGATCATTGTAGTGTGACAGTAGTGTCAGAGTGCGCCGCTCGCTCCAGGGCATTGCCATCTGCAACAGCACAACGTTTTGTCTCCGGTAAATAAACACATCTGCCTTTGCCAGTGTCCTCCCCACTGTGCTGCCCATCTGGAGCAGGTGAGCTGGAAGACAGGCTTGGGCTCAGGAAGGAGGGGAGACATGGGAGGATCAGGCCTCAAGGGACATGGCACAGAGCAAGATGACAGTGCCATATCAATGCCACATCCTGATGGCTGAGTTTACCAAAAAGCCTGTTAAATTACTCCTGCTCGTGGTACTTCAAATCATATGTAAGAAACGTCTGCATCTGCTTAAGTGGGCAGGACGTTCAGTGTCAGCCTCACCTACACCATCTGTGCAGGTCAGATGCCCCTGTGACAGGCCACCAGCACCAGGCAGAAGACAGCCATCTGGGTCAGGCACCAAGCAGCATTACTCCTTCACATCAACCTCAAAAACTGCACAGAGTTCCACAAAACACACGCAGACCTTCCAAATCACATCTGAGCAAAAGCTAAAGCAAGCAGCATCACTGCCAACCACCACCTAGCAACCATGCCTAGTTCATGTAGTTGGTCAAAGTAATTTAAATCATAAGAGGAGCGTTTCATGTACTAGACTGAGGCAGGACCCTGCACTGAGTTCTACTGACTCATTCTAACTTTAGTAATTTGAAAACTTGCTACCTTCAGCTGTCATCCACGTCAGAAATTAGAACAATGATCTCCAGTTGATCCTGCAGATGAGTTCTTGAAGAAGGGTCTGGGCCTTGCTCCACACATGTATAATTCTCAACAATACAGCTCTGATGTTAATACTGGCCTTTATTTACTACTGTAAAACATAATTTCTGGCCTATGCAGTATACTGTTGGAATAGCAACATAATTTATCCTATGCCCTGTCCCGACAGAGTTGTTCAACTTCATTCTCAACATCTTACTTCTTGTTGTTTTCCTTCATGTATTACATTGAGAAGAATGCTAATGAAATGCTGCCTAATCCTGAACCTTTAAAAGTCTGTTTGCCTCTTCATGACATCTTTTCATACTTTGAAAAAATTTCCATGAGAAAAATCAGTAATTGCAGTTTAGTAACTTGAAAATACAGCTCCAACTTGGATTTGGTATTTACTGAAAGCCTCATGCTACTGTTTACAAAAGGGACTTGTTTTGCTAAGTACATCAAACAGCTTTCTCTATTAAGTCATTTTTCAAGAAGATTAAATGGATTCAGTGCATTGGCATGAAAACTGACAACCTTATCTCAATGCTAAAGAGGCTTAATACACTTAGCTGTCTGCAGTGTTTGTGACAAAATGTTTATTGGGCCCAAGGCTGGAATTTTAACACTATGGTTGTATCAGTTATTGATAAGTGATGTGATAAGTTTAAATAAGCAAATCAAGTTATATTTTAATAAAACATCCTTTCAGGAAAGTGAATTCATCACTGAAGCCAGAAGCTGCCATCTTTTTCTTCAGACTCCGTTACTTGAAAATGGAAATTTTCCCCTGTAAGCCTTTGCCAAAATCTTTCAGCTATTACTCACTCTACTCCGAAGATAGTCAGCTAGGTTTCGTCGGGTAAAGTTTGCAGCTGCAGTAGGAGACAACTCATAACCTGGAGAAGAAATGTGTGTATTTGATAACAGTACAAATTCATATTCATGTTTCACTTCCTGACTTTCCATTCCAATTTTGAAATACCAAGATATTCTTTAATGACAAAATGTTATGCCATTTGTCTCATTCCTGTTTATTCTGAAAACCACAAGCAAAAAAGGGCCCTCAAAATTCAGGTAGCTCATATCTGTGTAGACTATTAAAATACATAGCTTTAAAAATTTGAAATACTATGGGCATGCAGCCTGAATTTTTCAGTCCGTTGTATCAGGAAAACTGGTAACAGTTGTCATGCAATCGACATATTAAGAGAAATTTCACTAGAAATTTTTAGATTTTACTAACAAACCTATTATTGTGTCACTTATATTACACAAAGGTTAGCTGGGCTTTGGATAAGCCCCTTGTCTAAAGATGCTATGTAGTCCAACATCCATTTCTTCATCCTGCCTTCACTACCACCTTTGCTTGGCAATAAAAATGCAGAAATCCTTAAAGCTAGAGAAAGTTTGACAACAGCACTTTGCACCAACACTCACCTGTGAACTATACCTATCATTAACTCTGCTTCCAAACCCTCAGCAAGTAACTGTTCTCCTTCACTCACCATTTCTCATTTTGTAGAGCTGAACATTTTTCTGGATGTATTCTGCAAACTGTACAGTGTCTCCAGCTTCCCCAACACACAGGAGTAAGATCTTTTCACTCATCTTAAACATTTTGTCATGGTCTAGGCAAAGAAAAATAACAGGAAGAGCCATGGTCATGAAAAAGAATAACTTATTTTGCCAATGTCATAACACATCATGTTTTCTTTCAGAAGCAAGAAAGTAAAGAGACTTGGATAACTGCTTTCTGACCTGGGGCACTACCAAAAAAGTCTTCCAGAACAAAACCTAACATTCAGCTTCTCAGCAGCTGTTGAAATATCAACATGTGGAGCAAAAGCAATCTTAGGAAATCCAGGAGCAAATTCCTTGTCAAATGATCCCCTCTTCCTGATATCCAGCACCTCAAAGATTAGCAATTTAGGCAAGTGAGACTTTTTCAGAAATAGGTTTTTGCTTGTCATTAGCTTTTGTAAAAAAACAAACAAACAAACAAAAACAGAACAGTGAAGTACTGATTATAAATTATTAAACAGCCCACTGATATGCATGGAAGTTAAGGAACAGTAAGATATACTTTTACTCATAACTGCAGTTTAAAACACTTGTCTGTGTGTATTTGAGGGAATCCAAGTTGTCATGATGACAACACTGAAGACAATTCTGTGCTCACTCTAACACTGCGATCTCATCTAATTAGAGCAGACTGGCACTCATATAGCTGAGACAGAAAAATTCAAGTAGCTGTTGGTGTGAAAGGAAGACCACTTCTCTGTACCGACGGTTGGTCTACAGCACTAAACTTCCACCTCTGAACTTCACTTTCAGTTTACTAAATGCTGCTGAATAATGTCTCCTGCAAGACATGTATGAAGTGTCACAATCCCCTAATACATTTCAAGAGTTAAATACCCAGAAGCTGCATGTCTTGAGAATTCAGGAAAGGCCACTGACACTGATCAGTCCTTGCAATCTATTTACAAATCAAAGCAAATGTTAGTAAGTGCCAGTACTCTAAACAAATACCTGAAATTTGGGGGTTTTTCCTCCCCCAAACACAAACAAATCCTATGTTTCGAGTAAATTTTCCTTAAAGTTTATCAATAAACCTACTTGGAACCAATGGTAACTTATAAAACATTGTTTAAAGTGATTATATTTGTGTATTTTATGTACCACTTTAACAGACTTGAAGTGAAATATTTTAGGTAAAAGCACTGCTAGATGTAACATTCATGACTTTATGGGATGTTTATCAATACTACAATCTACAACTTTTTTTTTTTTAAAAAAAGAGCTTCTAAAGCACAGTATTTAGATTACAAAGACCACGATATGTAGCAAACAAGCTTCTAGTCTACACGTTGTAAACAAGCTTCCGTCTAGGTTATTGCAACAATAGGCAGAAAAATTCATTTCAGAGACTTTCAAATGCTTGATAGTCACCCAAATGTTTTATCACATAAAGAAACAAAAAACATATTACAGTTTGGCTTATATGCTATGATATGCCCATACGTACTTATGCTTTTACTTCCAATATTTCCTTTTTTCCCTAAGTTACATTTTACCAGTGAATTAGACACAACCAAACATTCAATCTCACCTTTTATTATCCCTGTGCAGTTTTTAACACATCTGTACTGCGGTACAGAGCAAGGATTGGGTTAACAGGTCAACGCTTACCTGAACCAGTAAGTTAACATGACAACCCAACACAGCGCAGTCATTTTGGCTCAGGCTTGGAAACTTTACTTTGAGCAACCGGCTCTCTGAGACTCGGCCTCACCCTGAGTGACAGAGACCGGCCAGCAGCCCCTACAACGAATAAACCCCAAAACCGAAACATTCAGCTGCCTTTATCTTCACCCATACCTGCCTACTTTAACAGCCTTTCCTCAGCCGCAGTCAGAGCCAGAGACTCAGAGCACCCTAACCACACAGAGAGAGCCCATCCCTGGCCACTTGCTCGTGACTGGAGCCCAAGGGCACGCTGCCGGGGCTCGCCGCCGCCCCTGCCCCGGGGAGGG